GGGGGTGTAGATTTTAAAGCACGTTGCCAACCACCATGGTGCTTTTTCTTGAGTTTATTGCAAATATGAAAGTTTTTAGGTTTTAAGCATTTTATATAATCCCGAGAGTGAATGATACGATTAGAATGCATAATTTTAAATGTAAACACCAACAAAATATGAGTAAATAGATGCAAAATGTACATGGAATATGGTAGCCCAAAATGTTCAAACAGGCCGCCAAGGTCTTGTTGCTCCACACTATGTACACGCAAAGAGCATATTGTCCTTATAAAACTCTCCGATGTTAAAGACTATTGCTACACACAACTCGCTGATATCCTATGATTCACATATGTAAACAACATCCAAATGCTCAAAATTGAAAAGATTCTTGTATTACATTTAATGATTTCATAGATATTAGATATTAAAATCACACTTCTGCACCAAATATGAATGTCTCACATGGACACATGACATGAACAATCACATATAAAAATACATAAAACTGATAGTCTTGCAGTAAAAGTACATATTATTGGAAATAACATGGGCTGCTGTGCAAATTTTCTTCTATTTTTCTTTCTTTCTTTGTTTACAATTATGTAATATTAAAGAAATTTTCCATGTATTTTTGTGCCTGTACTCAACTTGAATATTGTAAAAATAGTCCATTCGTTTCCGCGAATGGACAATTTTTATTTAATATTCGAAAATAAATATGTTATATATCCCACTTACGGTGATTTTCAAATGTCTCTGACCCAGGCTACCCAGGAACTGGAAAGATGCTTTCATAAGCCCCATCTTCAAAGAGCGGAAGAGGCAGTTAGTGTCGACCGACCTGTAAATCTAACCTGCACTACACCAAAGGTATTAGGAATACTCATCAGGGATCAGCGCTCAGCTCACTGGGAGAAACATGATTTACTGGCAGCGGAATACCATAAATTCCGACCAGGGCGATCCCGCCTAACAAACCTACTGTTAGCTAGACAAGAATGGGGCCAGGCCAGGGATGAGAACAGTCTACTGAACGTTGTTTTTGTCGATCTCAGTAAAGGATTCGACAAGGTATCCCATTCAGGTCTTCTTAGTAAACTCAAATGTTTTGGATTAGACCTTCGCCAATTTGAGTGGTTTTGCGACTACCTGATAGACAGAAGGCAAAAGTTAAGGGCTAATGGTGTACCGTCAGGTTGGAAATCAATGTTGAGTGGAGTATCACAGGGAAACCTCTTTCTATCCCTACTATACGTAAATGAACACCCGAAAATACTTACGTCACATTCATCATTATTCGAGGACGATATTAAGATACGGAAAACTGTTAATAATAATGATGATAGGTCGCTATTACAAAACGATCCAGCTGAATGGGCGAATCTCTGAAGTCTGAAAGTCACTTCCAAGAAGATCATTATAATGCGCTTTGGTAATGGGTCTTACACATCGTACTCCCTGGGAAGCACAGAACTACCAGATATTAAGGGACAAAAGGACTTGGGGATAATTGTTAGTCATGTCTTGAAAGCAAAGGCAAATTGTAACGCAGCCATGGCTGAGGCTTTTCGAGAGCTATGAGCACTTCGAAGGTCTTTCAAACGACTGGACGAGTATATTTTCTAAGTATTCCATTCAACGAATGTCAAGCCTCATCTAGAATGCCGCATGCAAGTGTCGAGTCAATGCCTCAGGAAGGTGGAATATCTTGGAACACGTATAAAGAGTGGGAACCAAATTAATTAGTGGTATCTCACATTTAAATCTCTTCTCATTATCATACTGAAAGCGGAGAGGCGACTTAATTTTGGAGATCTAGGGATTGGCCTTTCTAATCTTTTGTCTCCCTCTAGGTCATCATTACGAGGTCAGCTCAGAAATGTGCTCAAGCCGAGGACAAATAAAATACGTGTGGAATTTAGATTCCCTCACAAAGAGGTCAACGACTGGAACTTCTTACCTGATTCAGTAGGAATAGCTCCATCGAGGAACAATTCCAGAGAGAAATTAAATTTTTAGAGGGATATATACTGCAGGGATTAACATAAACAACAAGGGCCTACCATCCTTATTATCTGAATCTGAACCAAGTCAGGGCATTGGGTATTGAAAACGACCTTGTCTCTCTTTGATTTGTCAAGGCCGTTAGCTACTAAACGTTCATGATTAACGTTAATGTAGGTGTTTTAGGCCATGTCGATTCCGGAAAGACGAGCTTAGCGAAAGTTTTAAGTACTGTGGCGAGTACCAGTGCATTTGACAAAAATCCGCAAAGCAAAAAGCGGGGAATTACTTTAGATCTTGGTTTTTCATCGTTTGCTGTTGATTCAGCGAGCTATCCGTTTGTGTCATCTATTCGTGAAAGTTTTGAAAAAGTTCAGTTTACGTTGGTTGATTGTCCCGGGCATGGATCACTAATTAGAACAGTTCTGTGCGGTAAGTTTCATCGTACAAATTAGTCAGCATATGACTGGCACGTGGTTATTGCAAATCTTAATTTTATATATGTAAGAGAGCCAAAGAAGTTTTTATTTCCACCCAGGAAGCATTTCCACATTCGCCGGTGTGCACGGCTGATAATCGACAAAGAACTATTTTTTTCGTTGCAAACTACTGTACCCAAGCTTACAATAATGCTGAATTAAATCTCAGTAATTCTGAAATAATTCTTGCATCCTATAGTGAGTAAATTCTGAATCTGTTCTGAAATGGTTTGTTTAATGGCACAGACTAGAACTCAGTGCTGGTTTTCAGCATGACTAGAACTAATTCAGCACCGTGTTCTTTTTCTAGGCATTTTCACGAGTAGATCAGAACATACTGGGTTTCCTTATCAGCGTTGTTCCAGCCATTACAGGACATATTAAGCTCTGACTAGCATTACTTCAAAACGAAAAGACCTAATTCAGCACATAGTGGCAATTTTTTCAGCTTAATTCTAGCCTTCTCAGCACATATTCAGAACTGACTAGCATAACTTCAGAACGAAAAGACCTAATTCAGCACATAGTGGCAATTTTTTCAGCTTAATTCTAGCCTTCTCAGCACATATTCAGAACTGACTAGCATAACTTCAGAACGAAAAGACCTAATTCAGCACATAGTGGCAATTTTTTCAGCTTAATTCTAGCCTTTTCAGATTTTGTCGCATTAATTCAGCACCCAGCTCTCTTTTTAAGCACGACCAGCGTTATTTAAGAACATAGTGGGTAGAAAAAATTTTCATTTACCATAAAAAGGCATTATCAACGCATAGGTTAGAATAAGATTAGAATTGTTGTAAGCTTGGGTAATTATCCCCATGGGGACTTCATATAATGTCAGGCATCTCCTCGCTCTTATTAAAGAATATCTCCTAACTTGCTGCAAATGTGTATTTACTTATATTATAGGGTTTTATTTCATGATATCGAAGCACCCAAGCTTACAACAATTCTAAACTTATTCTAACCTGTGCGTCGATAATGCCTTTTTATGGTAAATGAAGATTTTATCTACCCACTATGTTCTGAAATAACGCTGGTAGTGCTTAAAAAGAGAGCTGAGTGCTGAATTAAGTATTGTCGTCCTGAAGTAATGCTAGTCAGTGCTTAATATGTCCTGTAAGGGCTGGAACAACGCTGATAAGCAATCCCAGTATGTTCTGATCTACTCCTAAAAATGCTGAGAAAAAGAACACGGTGCTGAATTAGTTCTAGTCATGCTGAAAACCAGCAGTGAGTCCTAGTCTGTGCCATTAAACAAACCACTCGAGAACAGATTCAGAATTTACTCACTATAGGATGCTAGAATTATTTCAGAATTACTGAGATTTAATTCAGTATTATTGTAAGCTTGGGCAGTTGTGTGATTTTGTGGTAATTGTGTAAAGGTGACGAAAATCTCGTTCATGAAATGTGAGGTTGAGAAGTTGCCACCGTATCTTTTTCTAGGCAAAGTATCAGACACATTATTTCACCATCAAATAGTTGCAGATTAGGCGTGTACGGTGCATCGTGAGCTACTAACCGAACCGTCTTATGGTAGCTGTAGGCAGCCAAAGCTGTTTGACTTCGAAAATTTGGCCGCTGACTTAGATCGTGTGGGAAACTCTAGATTTCGTGAGTCAGATGTTTACATCTACCGAAATAATAAATGTTAACCGAATGTGCTTAAAATTTATTGCCATAATTCTGGGATTAATGCAAAGAAGATCTTTTTTGTTTACCTGGCACTATTGTAGTTGGTTTCTCTTAATAAATTTATATATTTTTTCGACTAAGTTTGTGTTTTTGTTAGGGTTAGACCTATAACTCACTCACGTAGTTATACATCGGTGAAACAATAAAACCCGTGTATCAAGAAGTGTGGCAATGTCTTTGCAACAACAGATTAAATATGTCAGGTAATGACAAAGTACTTGTTACATGGTAAATTTATCTTTTGCGCAATTTGATTACTCAGATTCAGATTCAGATTATAAGGATAGAAGGCTCTTGTTGCCTATGTTAATCCTCGCGATATATATCTCTGCAGAGATCCAGTTTCTCTTTGAAAGCGTTCACCGATGGAGCTGTTACTACTGAATCAGGTAAGGAGTTCCAGTCGTTGACCACTCTGTGAGAGAATCTAAACTCCAAACGTATTTTATTCGACCTTGGTTTGAGCACCTTCTTCTGGTGACCCCGTAAATGTATTCTAGAGGGAGAGAAAAGGTTTGAAAGGTCAATCCCTAAATCACCCTTGAATATACGGCAAGCCAAAATTAAGTCGCCTCTCCTCCTTCGATATGATAATGGGAAGAGATTTAAATGCTCCATCCTCTTATCATAAGGAAGGTGTGAGATGCCACTAACTAATTTTGTTCCTATCCTCTGTACTCTTTCCAGGGTATGTGCCTCCTTTTTGAAGCATGGACTCGCCGCTTGTATGCATTACTCTAGATGAGGCCTGACATATGTTGCATAGAGTACTTGGAACATACCCTCGTCTAATCGTTTGAAAGATCTTCGAAGTGCCCATAGCATTCGAAAAGCCTTAGCTGCGGCTCGATTACAGTTCGCCGTTGTTTTTAAGTCATGGCTAACAATAATTCCTAAGTCCTTTTGTTCCCTAACATCTGGCAGTTCTGTGTCCCCCATGGAGTACTACGTGTAAGACTTCTGACCTATGTGCATTACCGCGCTTTTCTTGCAATTCATTTCCAGACTCCAAAGGTTAGCCCATTCGGTTAATTTGTCTAGATCGTTTTGTAGTACCAAGCTATCATCGCTACTATTTACGGTTTTCCATATCTTAATATCGTCCGCAAATAGTAAGGAAGATGAGGTAAGAATTTTTGGCACTTCATTTACGTATAATAAGAATAGCAGGGGGCCAAGTACCGTTCCCTGAGGTACTCCACTTAGTACTGCTTTCCACCCTGACACTACACCATTAACCCTTACCTTCTGTCTCCTATCCATCAGGTAGTCACTAAACCACTCGCATAAGCTTGGTCTAATCCAAAATGTTTAAGTTTACTAAGAAGACCTAAGTGGGATACCTTATCGAATGCTTTACTAAGATCGATAAATACAACGTCCAGTAGATGGTTTTTATCCCTGGCCTCGACCCATTCTTCCCTTGCTAACAGTAAGTTTGTCAAGCAGGATCGTCCTGGTCGGAATCCATGCTGTTCCACTGCCAGTAAGCCATGTTTTTCCGTATGAGCTAAGAGCTGGTCCCTTATGAGTTTTTCTAACACCTTTGCTATAATGCAGGTCAGACTTACAGGCCGGTAGTTAGATACTAACTGTCTATTCCCATCTTTGAGGATGGGGCTTATAAAAGCATCTTTCCAGTCTCTGGGTAACCTAGCCTGGGTCAGAGACATCTGAAAAATCTCCGTAAGTGGAATGTATATTATATCCGCCAGAGAGCTTAGCAATCTAGGGTGAAGTCCGTCTGGTCCAGGTGATTTACGTGGCTTCAACTTAGACAGTAGTTTCAGAACCATTGCATCATCTACCACAATTGGGGGCATTTTAGTGGCTACACCAGTAACCTCGCTACACCCCTGAGTGGTACGATTAGACGAAAAAACATCACAGAAATATTCGGAGAGCTCCTCAGCTTTTGTTTCGTCTGATTCTGCAGCCTCTCCTGTGTTGCTAATGAGGGACGGTATGCCACTACTAGTTTTAGTCCTGCGTTTGATATACGAGAACAGTCTTTTTGGATAATACCAACAGTGGGGTTAGACAGGGTTGCCCAATCTCTCCATTTCTCTTTAACTTTGCCATCGACGACATTCTGGAGTCAGCTCTGAAGGATGTGCGTGAAGGTGGTGTAGATCTGCTACCTGGAGATAGACTTTTCGACCTCGAGTATGCAGACGATATCGTCTTACTGTGCGATAGCATGCAGACTGCCCAAATCGCACTTAATCAGTTGGCGATCAGTGTCTGTAAGTATGATATGTGCTTTGCGCCGTCTAAGTGCAAAGTACTGTTACAAGATTGACAGGAGCCTGTACCTGCACTCACTCTTGCGGGTGAACCGCTTGAAGTTGTCGATAAGTTTGTGTACCTAGGTAGTTGTGTGAGTGCTGGCGGAGGGGTGACGGATGAGATTTCCAACCGTATAATGAAAGCTAGGGTGGCATACATCAACTTGAGCCACCTCTGGTGCCGTCGCGACGTTAGCCTGGCTGTCAAAGGTCGGGTATACAATGCTTCGGTGTGGGCTGCGCTGCTCTACGCCTGTGAAACCTGGCCTCTCCGAGCTGAAGATGTGAGGCGACTCTGCGTGTTCGATCATCGCTGTCTCCGCAGGATTGCTTGCGTTTGATGGCATCATCGCGTGAGTAATTCTGAGGTTCGGCGGCGTGTGTTTGAACACAGTGGAGATCACCATTCATTGAATGTCGTCATCTGGAAACACCGTCTCCGGTGGCTTGGACATGTGCTGCGAATGTCACCCCAGAGGCTTCCGTACAGGTCTCTGTTCGCTAGCCCTGGGACGGGTTGGAAAAGGCGGAGAGGTGGTCAGCCCATGACGTGGCGTCGTGGGATGAAGGATATTTGTGCTAGATTAGCATCGGTTGGTGTGTCACGACTCCCTGGTTGGGGTCTGAGAGATAGCTCAAATCGATGGCTCGAAACGTTATCGGATATGGCCAAGAATCGTAATCAATGGCGAATGTGTTGCGATTTCCTTCTTTCTTCCATTCCCGATGATAGTTAACGAACACTGTTTGAACCTGTTAAGAATGAGTGTTTTCCTTCCAGATGAAGTTCTTTATTCGTTCTCTACTTATATATATTTTTCTTTTCCTGCCTTCCTTCCTTTTTTTCATCTATGTTGTTTTATTATTATTGTGTGGCGCATCCTTCTTGGTGCCATATTGTACCAAGTTTTAATGCGTTTAAATAATAATTTTGGATAATGCACACAATCCAGTACTAACTGTCTCTCATACTCTATACGACTTTTGTCAATCTCATACTTGCAAAGGTTTCGAACTTTGCGGTATTCTACCCGAAACTCATCCCTCCCAGTCACAGCAAACCGGTCCCATAAGTTCTTTCGTTTTCTTAGTAACCTCCTTATTTCATTGCTAATCCAAGGTGGTTTCTGAGATAATTTTCGAGGCGTAGACCAAGGTACAAAGGGTGCAGTGACGCACTCTACTGTATTCCTAAATCCCATCCAAGCCTCCTCGACAGTCTGGTGTGTATTAACAGACCAGTCAGCTAGGGTTGCTGCATTTCGGATTGCAGGTATACTCCAAAAGGAGTAGTGCAGGTATTAATTATATGTAGTTTGTAGTATGAGGTGTGTTAAGACTGTTACTACTGTGAATGTAGTTGATCCTTTCACCAGTTAGTCCTCCGGTATCCTCGTCAAAAGAAAAGAGATAATAATAATAACAATAGGTATAATTAGTGAAGTTGTTTAGACTAACAGACAGAAAAAGAATAAGGAAACGTAACAACAGTCAGCTGATTAAATTTGAAGAATAATATGAATTATATATATATATATATATATATATATATATATACCTGTAATAATGATGATAATAATAATAGGTGTAGTTAAAGCTGTCAGGAGAGTAAGATGGGAGAGAATGTAAAGAAGTACTCACGCAATCGCTTCAGGAAGTGAATAATAATGGCAAAAATATTGGTTAAATAATGTCTGGACTAAAGGTGGAATTTCACGCAGGTAAGCTAATTCACCCAACAAAATTGTAGCCTTTCCTCAGCTGTTTTGCGTCATAAGTACTATATACTGCATAACTTACCCATACAGACAACATTTGAAACAGAAATAATCTAGAAAAAACTCACTTGTCAAACCGATGTATCAGCAGCCAAATCCAAATCAATATCTACTACATTGCCAACCACACTTAGTGTCAGTAGTATTGGATCCACGATTCTCAATTAGAACATACTACCAACACAAAATTGTAGTGATATCAAGCATTTCAGCTGTAGTTTGTACGATTTATAAAGATTCTGACTAAGGTTGACTGTCTGGTTTTGAGTGATTCATCGATACTTAATGTCTGTTTCCTTTTAAATCAATTTTTTTCATCCGTAATAACTCGTGTAGAAATATGTCTTCCTGTAGATCACAATTGTGCAAATTTCTCGTCCCCAACTATCTTGTTAACTTATTATTATTATTATTGTTCCCTTGGGTTCCTAGTGGAACATAGGGCTTCAACTGCACGTCTCCACTTGCTTCTGTCTTGTGCTGTACTTTTCACTTGCGTCCATGTTATTCCATACTGTTTCATCTCCTCCTCACACGATCTCCTCCATGTCACCCTTGGACGTCCCACTCGCCGCTTCCCTTTCGGGTTCCACTCGAGGGCTTGACGCGCGATGTCACTCAACGGCCTCCTCAGCGAGTGTCCAATCCATCTCCACTTCCTCCTGCATATTTGTTGGGCGATTGGTTCTTGTTTCGTTTGTTCCCATAGCTTCTTGTTTGTGATTCTTTCTGGCCATCTTATCTTCAGTATGGAGCGAAGACAGTTGTTGATAAAGGTCTGCAACCTGTTGAAAATGTTCTTGGTGACTCGCCAAGTTTCTGATCCGTAAAGCAAAATTGACTTCACGTTTGTATTGAAAATCCGAATTTTGTTGTTGATGGTGAGTGACGAAGATTTCCAGATTGGTTTCAGGTTGATGAATGTGTTTCTCGCCTTCCCGATTCTCGATTTGACATCCTCGTCCGTTCCTCCTGTGGTTGAGACAATGCTCCCAAGATAAGTGAAAGAAGTAACCTCTTTCAAATCCCTCCCGTTGATGGTGATTGACGGTGGATGTTGCTGCTGCTGTTGTTGTTGGTTGGTTATTTTCATGACCTCCGTCTTGTCTATGTTCACCTGGAGTCCTGTCTTTGCTGCTTCTTCAACCAGTTTGTCGGTTTTTGCTTGTAAGTCTTCGATTTTGTGTGACATCAGACATAGATCATCCGCAAAATCCAGGTCTTCTAGGTTCTTCACGTCAGTCCAGGATATCCCTGTCTTCTCGTTTCCCACTGTCTGACGCATAATCCAGTCCACCACAATTAGGAATATCATTGGTGATAATAAGCACCCTTGTCTGACTCCTGTGTTTACTCCAAACGCTTCGCTGAGTTTTCCGTTGTGGATCACTTGACATGTGCCGTTGTCGTACAGTTGTTGAATAAGGTTGATGAATATTTGGGGTACGCCGTAGTACTCGAGGAGTTTCCAAATTACTTCGCGGTCAACGCTGTCGAAGGCCTTCTCAAAGTCTATGAAGTTGAGGTAGAGATTTGATTGCCATTCCATGCTTTGTTCGATGATAATGCGTAGAGTTGCAATTTGGTCAGAACATGATTTGCCTTTCCTGAATCCAGCTTGTTCTGGTCGGAGTTCTGTATCCAGCGCGTCCTTGATTCTCTCCAGGATGATGCGACTCAGGATTTTACTTGGCGTCGACAGGAGCATGATTCCTCGCCAGTTCTTGCAGAGTCCCAGGTCGCCCTTCTTTGGTAGTTTCACCAGGTAACCTTTCCTCCAGTCAGTAGGCACCTTTCCCTCTTTCCAGATCTTTTGCAATAATGGAGTCAGCATATCTGCCGTCGTTTCTGGGTCCGCTTTCAGTGCTTCCGGGGGTATTCCATCTGGTCCAGCTGCTTTTCCAGCTTTCAGAAGCTTGATTGCATTCATGACTTCAGTTTTCGTTGGAGGATTGGTGTCAACTTGCAGTTGTGTACGTGCTGTTGTTGGTATTACTGGACGGGTTGTAGGTGGTGGTCGATTCAAGAGTCCTTTGAAGTGGTCCGCCCATTGTTTAATCTGTCTTTCTTCTTTGGTAATTGGGTTCCCTTGGCTGTCTTTTATAGGTTTCACTTGTGTTGATCTCTTCCCGGATAGAGACTTGGTTATCTGATATAGTGTCCTCAGGTCCCTTTTGCCTGCTGCCTTCTCAGCTTCAGTAGCCAGGTTGTCGTGGAATTGTCTTTTGTCCTTCCTGGCACTCTTCTTCACTTCTTTGTCCAGTGCTGTGTAAGTTGAGTTCAGCGTCTCTTTCTCTTGTCCATCTTTGCATTGAATCATTTTTTCTTTCACCTTTCTCCTCTCCTCTATTAGTTTCCAAGTGTCCGTTGAGAGCCATTCCTTGTCTTGTTTCTTCTTTCTTCCTAAAACCGTTGAGCACGTTTCGTTGAAAATTACCTTCAGAGAGTTCCAATGGTCTTCGATGGATGATTCCTCAGTGGTACCACGTAGTGTTTCCTGCTTTGCTCTGACAGTTGCAGTGAAAATGTCCTGTGTGATTGTGTCCTTCAGTTTTTGCGTGTTGAACTTGCATTGTGGCCTATCCCCAGCTATCCTCGAGGCTTTCAGCTTCACCTTGAAAGTCCCTTGTACTAGATAGTGGTCTGAACCCACATCTGCTCCTCTCCTCGATCTTGTGTCCAGTAGGCTCCGTCTCCACTTCCTTGAGATTGAAATGAAGTCTATCTGGTTTTTTGGTGTGTCCATCTGGTGAAATCCATGTCGCCTTGTGTATATCCCTGTGTTTGAACACACTGCCACCAATCACCAAATCATTGAAGGCGCAGAAGTCTGAGAAGAGTTCGCCATTTTCGTTCATTTCACCGAGGGCCTCACGACCCATGGTGAGTTCTCTTCCTGTATTGTCTCCTCCCAGTTTCGCATTCATGTCGCCCATCAGGATTTTGATATCGCTCTTTGGGACGTTGTCCATTACTGTTTGTAGTTGACTGTAGAAATCCTCCTTCTTCTCATGTTCTGAGGCGTTTGTAGGCGCGTAGCACTGAATGATTGTAACCTTTTTTCCTTTTGAGTTGAACCTGGCTGTCATTATCCTGGAGGAGATTGGTTCCCACTGCATGAGAGCTTTAGCCGCTGTTGGTGACATCATGATGGCTACTCCCTCGGTGTGCTCGTGATTGTCCTCTGGGTGACCGGAGTAGATTATTGTCTCTCCAGTTGATAGTTGGCTCCTTCCACATCCGTTCCATCTGCTCTCGCAGATTCCCAACACTTCTATTTTATATCTCCTCATTTCTGCGGCTACCTGAGCAGCCTTCCCAGCTTCGTACATTGTACGAACATTCCACGTCCCCATCCTTATTTTTGCTTTCATCGAAAGAAGGCACATCGGCTGACTGGCTTCCCGAAGGCTTTCACCAGCCCGCGTCATTTCACTTCCCCGATTCCAGCGAGAAATAAGGTCACTATTTGTAATTTTAGAATTTTGAATATATTTGTGCGTTGAAGTTTTAGTAGCAATTTGGTTAAGTTTTGGGGGTGGAGTTGCTAGCACCACGCCCCAACCCTCCCTCTTTATCCGGGCTTGGGACCGGCTAGAATACTAGTGACCTAGTAATCTAGGCGAGGTTATCTTGTTAACTTACTGTTAATTAATTCTCTACTATGCATGTAATTATTGAATTACTAGGTGCTTTCTCTTAAATTCACCGCATGTTTAACTGTTTAACTCTTTAGTAATACAATAGTGTATTTCTCTCTATCGCTAATTATTGTTAGTATTATATTTCCACTTTTTTATTACAGGATCTCAGATAATCGATGTTATTCTTCTTGTTGTGGATGTTACTAAGGGATTCCAGACTCAAACAGCTGAATGTTTAGTGATTGGTGAAATTGCCTGCGAGAAAATGTTAGTAGTACTGAACAAATGTGATTTATTAGAAGAAAGCCAGAGATCTGAATCCATTCAGAAGGTAGTTTTACTTACTGTAGTAATTCTATCTAAAGATGAGAAAAAGAATACTGAAGACATTAGAAGGGACAATTTTTAAAGATTCAGAAATCGCAGAAATTTCAGCTGCTCCAGGGGGTGTTCAGGTGGGTTTAAACTTATTTTAATGCATACACGATTATTCAGACTTTCGGTATTTAATCAGTCGTCAGATAAGATAGTATAATAAGCTTTAAAATAGCATACCAAATCCAAGTGAATACTTGGACCTGGCCATTGAGAGTGGAAGACATGAAAAGACTAGCTGTCTTTGATCATAGGTGCCTGCGTTCTATCTCCCGTGTAAAGTGGTATAATAGGGTGAGCAATATTGAGGTTAGGCGTCGAGTGCTAGGTAAGGAGGAAAAATCAATTGACGAGGCTGTAAAGCTACATCGATTGAGATGGTTAAGGCATGTGCTACGCATGCATCATGGTCATCGCTTTCCTCGACGGGCAATGTTAGCTGTCATAGGGTCAGGATGGAAAAGAGCTAGCGGCGGTCAAATCAAAACCAACTTGGCTTCATCAGTCAATGAAATCTACAACAGTCAGTTTAGTCCATCCACGTAGGAAGAAAACAGCCAGAAGTGAATACTTTTACCGTTGTTTTGTTAATTATCTCTCACATCTCTCAGTCCCTTTTTCTGGTAATTACACACAGTGATACACACAAATTATTTATCAGACGACTTTAATTCAAAGCTTAGTTATATTGGAAAGTTATTTTCTTTCGGTTCCATCTTTTCTGTGTGTAATATGAGACTCTGAGCTTTTTCACACTTGACTAGCCGTGATGCTTTTTGTTTATGATGTGGGGTTGCCAGCTTTACGCCTAACTCCTCTTTTCTGGACTTACTACTCAATCACTAATAAACTAAGCGAGATTTGGAGGTGCGTCGGCCGGGAGTCGAACCAGTCGAACTTCCCTTGTGACTGGCGAAGGGAAGCATAAGTGCGAATAGATAATTTTCCATTATTGATTATTTGTAAAGACTGATCCTCGTAAAGCTATGACTCCTCGGACTCGACACGTCACTTCAAAACCACCAGCCTTATAGGCTCAATCTCCGCTCCACCTAACGATGGTTGGGCAGTCAGGTAGGTAGTATCTCTAGCTCTCATAAAATAGATGTGGCTCATTACCAACTGTATGGAAATGTATATGATTGTTGTGTAAAACTGATCATGGTTTACTCACCGCGAAAATATGTATACCTACCAATATTGGGGTTGGTGAGTGTAATTAAAAGAATTTGTCACTTACTTGTTATGTATTATTTTAGGGATTTAATCTCTGCACTGAGTTTATAGACAACCTACATAATTTCTATGTTAATTCAGTTTACGGTAGTAATACTAACTAGGAATTCCTTTGCATAGTTTTGTCTATTGTCTATTTATAGTTTCTTTTTGTTAGGCTGTTTTGAAACTTTGAATTTTCCTTAGTAGATCACATTGACCATTGTACACATTCCAAAATCAGGTTATACTCAATCTGTTTGTTGTTGTTGTTAATATTGATTGCCTCTTCTCTATTATTTTCGTCATGAAACAAAATCACCTTGGTAACTATTGAAACTGTTTGTCCCTAGTGTTGAAATTCCAAACCAGTGCACACCGGCGATTGTGTGCGACATTGAATCAAGAACCATTTCGTCTCTGTTAACCAGTAACATCGTCATTCATTCCATTAGTTCACAGTTCCATGGTCAAACTAAAAAGAAAAGAGTTTTCACAGTTCATGTTTTCCGAATTGTGCTGTGAGATTAATTTATATTCTGTAGCTGATTCTTTTCAATTCCTTACAATAATGCGAAAACTCAATATAAACTCATTAGTAGACGCAATCCAATTCATTTCTGAGTTAGGAAACAAACAGGGTGAGTTGGCTATACTACTTACTGTAAAACAGAAGGAAAACAAGATAGTGGCTTAGATACTGGCATTTATAGGAAACCGACACACACACACACACACTAATAAATACTTAGACTTTAATTCATCCCATCCAGAATCGGTAAAGGAGATATTACTAGTGAATAACTAACTACCAACCACAATATGTTCAGAAATATATGAAGAACCATAAAAAAGTAAGATCAGTAGTGAAAATGACACAAATGACAAAAGAAATGTAGAATTCAAAGTTTCTGTAGACGGAACGTCAGAGGCCTTACGTAGGATTCTCAATGAGGTTGATATTGGGGTGGCATTTAAACCAACCAAACTCTTTCAGAGATAAATTTTGTCGACTTGAGGACCCGTTTGATCCAATTAAGATAAATAATATAATTTACCAAATACCATGTAATACTGACTGTTAGTGAGGTCAATTACACAGGTCAGTCAAACTGGTACATCGGGTTTGGACAAGCACAGAAATTTACTCGAAGAGGATTAACATAGGCTCCAAGCCTTCTCTCCTCAACCAATAAATCTGAATCTGGATAAGTCCACTGGATGGCGCTGTGTGATGAAGGATAGTGATGTTAGGTTAGCATCTTCCATTGATGCAGCACATTTCCCTGGTTGACATCCAAGAGATTTTCCGAATCCATGCCTTAAGACGTTATCAGATGTCACCGAGAATTGTAATCATTGACGGGCATGCTGTGATTTCCTCCTCTGCTGTCTTTTTGAAGGTAACGTGATGTGATGAATACCGCTCAAATTGCTCTTTGATAAGTATGCTGGTATGTTGTCGTGATGCTGTTTAAATAAGTAACAGTGATAAGTAGAACTGAACACTAACAGACACGTGAATTAGGCATGATTTTAAAAAAGATAATGAACTAAGTGACATTAATTGCGTAACTCATTGAATGCTTATGGTCTAAATACCTTTTTCAAATGACAGATAATAAACTTTACTTGGTCTATTGCACCATTTTTTCGAATGGCGTCGTAAAGAAATATTAAAAAAAACACGTAAAATATAACCGAAAAACTACATGCGCATGTTCATTCCGTAAACAGTAAGAAAAAAATTTGACGGACTGGGTTTCAACATAAAACTTTTCACAAAAGTCTCCAGCCATTGGTTCGTAGCCTCCTGAGGATCCTAACCAGGAAGTCTATTCCTCCCTCTCTACGTGGCCAAAACTAACTGTTAAGGACTTCATGAACTGATGCCAAGTTTTGGTTTGATCAACACTAGCTCTTTTCCAACTTGATGCTATGTTAGCTAATACTGGCCGTCGAGGAAGGCAATGGCTAGGAATGCATATGTAACGCATATCCTAACTATCTCAATCAATGTGACTGCTTTACTACCTCATCGATTGATTTTACCTCCCTCCTTACCTAGCACTCGACTGACACCTTAACCTTAATATTACTCACCATATTATACAACCTAGTGCTGGAGATAGAACGCGGATACCAATGATCAGAGACAGCTAGACAGGCTTTCCATGTCTTCTACTTTCAATGACTATGTCTCACTCACAGCCAGTCATAAAGGAAGACCGATGGAACTGCTGCTGTACAGTACACACGTCTTTTGATCGATAGTCGACTGGATATCATGTACACTAAGGCAGAAATAACGTAAGTTTGTAACAACAGAAGACAAGGGCCAGGCAACAGATCGTTTATTTAGGAAATCAACAGATATTTATAGATTTTCATGTACATTATTATAGATTATTTTAAGCAAACAAACACAGTCTTCTGATTGGTGGTTTCTCGCTGAACGTTAATCTTTCATCTCTTTGTGGCCGTTTATTGAAATTCAGATTATCTACCTGCCAATTGTATCCGCCTATGCAAAGTCTGCTGTGACTGTTTGTGTTGAATCAGTTTTTGTTCTTATTTTTCTCACGACCATTATTGGCGATGTAAACACTGACGTAAATTACTGTCTACCAATTTGGCCCGCAGCCAGCTCTCACCACCATGCTGAGATTTCGTCGGCTAACAAAGCAAAATGTGGTAGAATTTGGTAGAACTTCAGAAAGTTGTGAATAATTTTAGGGAAGTAATTCAAGCACCTAGGGAAAAGAATTTGACATAACTCCATTTTCTCATTAGACTTCAATTACCGGGTAAATAATTATTCTTTTGTTTGTTTAACACGTTTTCAATGTTGCGATTTTGATGTTACCGCTGTAATAAAATGTGTCTACTTAGACTTAGTTACCTTGTGTGTAGGTCTTTCATGTACAGGGTAGGCAATCAACCATGTAATTATTGTCTAAGAGATGATGCTAATGTTGTAACAACAGAAGACAAGGGCCAGGCAACAGATTGTTTATTAAGGAAAATCAACACATATTTATAGATTTTAATGTACATTATTGTAGATTATTGTTAGTAAAAAATACAGTCTTTTGATTGGTTGTTTCTCACAGAAAGTTAACCTTGCATCTCTTTATGGCTGTGTCAGATCATCCATATGCTAACTGTATCTGCCTACGCAAAGCCTTTGTTCTCATCTTCTCACCACCAATATTGGGGACATAAACATTGATGTCAATTACTGTCTACCAACTTTGGCTAGCAGCCAGCTTTCACCACAATGTTTCCCTAGTTGTTCAGACTGAATTACATGGAGCGAGACTCGAACTCAATGTCTACTGGCTGAGAGTCTAGTGCTTCACAAGCCAATGAGGTTGATTAAACCCTGTATGTATGTGTGTTTGCATTTATTATTGTTGGAGTTTACACCGTTTTCTTCTTTGTAACTGTGCAAATCACAAAAATGTATATATACGTATATTTTTTAAATATTACATCTAATTTTCATTATTATGCAATAGGTGGAATTTACTCCTGAACGTCCATATCATTCTCAAGAGGTAGAAAATCTAATCACTTTACTAGCACGATCCATTCCTGATCCTACAGAGAAAAGGAATAAATTAAAAGATATGAGTTTTGTTTTTGCTGTTGATCATTGTTTCACAATTACTGGACAAGGTACTATTCTTACGGGAACTGTTCTATCCGGAACTACAAGTGTTGGTCAGGTAACATTAAGCTTTCATACATTTATTATTCCCCTTTATGAATTTAAATAAAGCAAAAATTAAAAATTGTTGGTGCAAAATAAGTTTTATTATGAGGCCATCAATTTGAAGTGAGCTTTTAGATTTCTCCACGAGTTTATTAATCATCTCTCCCGGTGACCTTGGACGTGGACACATCGCGCCACATACGCATGAGGTGATTGGCATGAGTAGTTAGATACTACTAACACCAAGCAATAGTAGTATCCAATGTCTTCTACTTATCAACCAGTTAACTTATACAGTGATGCCTTTATGATTGATTTCTCCATCTCTATGATATCAAACAGATGACTTAATTTGTGATCTAATTACTTTCGGTTTCCAATGGAAACTGACTGGAGAAATTTGCCTCAAACTATGGAGATTACTAATTTCTAATTAATTTGCAAATAGTTTAACATCTTCTGAGAGCAGTAACATCCACCTCTCTGTTATGGATCAGTCTTTACATCAAGTTTTTGACGGGGGAATATATTGCCATCCAGCTTACGTCAGGTTAAAGTTCAACACCCCACTATTTCACGATTTAACTCCAACATTATTTCAATTCTCTGTTGGTTTTCAGTAGGCCTTTTTTAGCTGATTATAGTTCAGGATAAAGTCCCCTTTTTTTTAAATCAATCTATTGCTTACAGTACTAATCAAATTAATATAAGTCAGTTCTTCTCATAGTCATTTTAATTTTTTGTACTTAAGAGGACACATTTTTTTCTCTCCTTTTTACCCCACTTCATCAGACAATTGGTCTACCGTTACAACGAATTCAAAAGAAGATTAAATCTATCCAACGCTTTCGTCAACCAATTCAATCTATTGGACCAGTACGCCAATGTATATATATATATATGTATATATCATTATAAAAAGTATTATTTATTACAGTGATAATATTCAAGTGTCGGTTTGATGCAAGGATTTGATTGATTTTCTGTAATTCATTATGAGCTGACATCAGTTAGAGAATCATTGGAAAACCTGGTCTACTGAACAGCCAATTGTTTCGTCCTAGTCTGAGACTCTTCAATGGTTCTCACCCATCGGCTTAATGGTCTACGAGCTCGCCTTGTAACGGTCGGAAGGTCCTGGGTTCGAACCCTAGGGGTAGGTGGGTACTTCTGAAGAGTCCCGATCACTAGGACGAAACGGAAGTCCAGTACTATCTAATAGCTTTCCAGTTGTTCTCTAATCGACATCAACTCATGTCTATGTTCCATTCGGGTGTGTGCTGGATGGCGGGGAGGCTCAGTGTAGCTGAAGGCAAGTTAAATTGTTCCTCAAAGTGTTCCTTCCAGCGTTCAAGGCGTCTATCCTGAGAGCTAATAAAGGAGCCATTTTTCTCAGAAATCATCTCACTTACTCACTCACTCACTCACTTATCTGAACACCTTGAGCAGCAATCTTCGAATGTTTGGCATGCGATTCGCGCCTGTAAAATGTAAGATGCTGCTACAGGACTGGACTACGTCTACCCTAGCTTAGTGATAGGGAGTGAAGTGATAGAATATGTTGACCACTTCACCTATTTGGGAAGTTGTATCAGCACCAACGGATTGATTGGTGACGAAATCTCAGCACGGATCCAAAAAGCTCGGGCTGCTTTCGCTAACTTACGCCATCTCTGGCATAGGCGTGACATCCGGTTATCAACCAAGGGACGTGTGTACTGCTCAGCAGTTCACTCCGTCCTTCTGTATGGCTCTGAAACATAGCCAATACGAGTTGAAGACATGAAAAGGTTGTCTGTTTTTGATCATAGATGTCTACGATCTCTTTCTCACTTTAGGTGACATAATAAGGTAAGTAATGTTGACGTTAGGCGTAGAGTGTTGAGCAAAGAGGGAAAATCAATCGAAGAGGCTATAAAGTTACATAGATTGAGATGGCTAGGTCACGTGCTGCGCATGCCTAACCATCGCCTCCCCCACCCCGACGGGCATTACTAGCTGATATAGGTGCAGGTTGGAAAAGAGTAAGTGGTGGCCAAACAAAAACATGGCCTCATCAATCCATGAAATCCCTGACAGTTAAACTGAGTCAGGTAGGGAGATGCAGACTTCCGGGTTGTGGCCCTCGGGACTCTAAGAATCAATGCCTGGAGGCAATAGGTGACATGGCTCAAAATCGTTGTGAATGGCTCACGCAGATGTATTCAGTCTCTGTAATATTTCATATTCCTTTCTACCATTACTCATTCTGTTTCACTCTTATACTTGTCAAAACTCTATTGATTCTCTTCACTCATTTTGCTGTCTACCTTTGTGTGCTATTTGGAACGTGGCAACTCGAACTGTTGCACTTGGGTGCCAAGTTCTACGTTGAATCCAGCAGCAGCAGCAGCCACTCCATCTACTCCAGCCTAAGCAATTAGGTAGTATCGTTAGCCCTTACACCATAGGTATACCTGTTAGTCCGGTACGTGGAAATTCGTTCTAGATAATAGAATTCTAACTACGCTTGGTGTCTGTATGTAATGTTAATAAAAAAATTTGTAGATATGGTCGAAAGTTTTTTGGCTCGAAGTCATTCGAGGCATTACATTCATTGCGCAAGGTCTCCAATAATGCCAGATAATTGTCGTTTAGTGACATCGAGTTTAAGTTGGAGAATACCAAGATTTATTGGGATAGGATAACACTCAACCAACATGCGAAAGTTGAATGGTATTTAACTTTTGGTTTCTTGAATGTCATCAGTAAATAATGCTGTCTAATAGTGTGAGACTTTATCAAGTAAATTTACCCTGATAATGCCTAAGTTCTATCCTTATATCAAAAGCAGGTAATCTTCATAAATTTCTTAATTTTGTAATGGTATTTACTACTGATTGATTGATCGATATGAGTAGTTGGACAATACTCACACTAACCGGTAGTGTGTGTGCTAGACAAATTGAAGCGATTTGAACACTAATCAACTGTTTCGTTTGTGTGTTTTTTTCCTGGGCTCACTAACAGTGTACACAGTTGGATCAGAGATCAAAGAGGTATATCATAGTCAGAATTATGTTATTTCCTTATAGTGAATTAATTTACCTCCCCCCTCTCCCAACTTTCATTACATTTTTCTTAGGGTGATCGTGCTGGTATATGCGTTCCACAATTGGATCCAAGTTTATTAGAACGTGGTCTTGTCGGTGATTTATCATCAGATGACAATTTGACCTTATGTCATGGATGTATATTATCTTGTGTTGAAAAAGTTCGTTATTATAAAAATCCAGTGAAAAGCAAATCTCGTTTACATATTTTTGTTGGTCAAGAAACTGTCCTAGCTAATTTAACATTCTTTAATAAAATGTCATCTGCAGAAGAAGACAACTGCCTTACAAATGGTACTAAAGAACTATGCACTTTTGATAGAACAGCAAAATATCAATATATTGATGAATTTTCTAGTGATACAAGTAAGCAGTCAACATTAAAATTGACACTATAAGTCATTGATCGAAGAGGTAGATTTTGTGCCTTTAAAATTTAGATTTATTTTATTATTATTATTATATGGATGTGATATTCTTATGACACAGTCTTCGGTCCCATACAACCTGTCAGAAATGCATGCATATAATGTATTTTTGAGTTATAATATCGTCCTTACAGCTATCATTATCTTATTATTATTATTATTATTGTTCCCTTGGGTTCCCAGTGGAACACAGGGCTTCAACAGCCCACCTCTGCTTTGGTCTATTTTCTGCAGATCTTTTTAGCTGAGCATACGATTGCTCATAGTCTCTGATCTCCTCCTTATACGATGTCCTCCATGTCACCGTTGGACGTCCAACTTGTTTTTTCCCATTCGGGTTCCACTCGAACGTTGGCTGGGCGCTCAATGTCTTTTGATGGTCTCCTCAGAGTGTGTCCAATCCATCTCCATTTTCTTTGGCATATTTCTTGAGCAATAGGTTCTTCATTGATTGGTTTGCACAGTTTCTTGTCGCCAATTCATTCTGGTCATTTGTTCTTCAATATGGAGCCAACAGACGCAGTTGTTGATAAAAATCTGCAGCACTGTGTTGGAAATGTTTTTCGTGACGCTGGTGCTAAGTTTCTGACCCACTGACGACGGACTTAACATTGGTGTTGGAAATCTGAATTTTGTTGTTTATGCTGATTGAGGGCAGAAGACTTCCAAACTGGTTTCAGGTTGATGAAGGCGTATCTTTCTTTCCCAATTTTGACTGGCTTTGACGTCTTCATTTGTTCGACGTGCCTGTGGTTTAAACCGTGCTTCCTAGATAAGTGAAAGAAGTAACCTCTCTCAAATTTCCCTTACAGTCGTAAGTCATGCTTTTTCTTCTGATACTTTTGCGGCTAAGCTGAAACGGTGCTTATTGCATTTCATTAGCTTAAGTGCTCGATTTTCAGCTAATGAGTCAAATATTATTGTCCTATCCCACTTATGTCATCCTAGGCTTGGCAAAAGTAGGTATTGTTACCCCCCCCCTCATATGACAAATGTGGATGTGTTGGCCTGGTAGATGAAAAATCTCTTCATGATAATTGAATTTAAAACAACAAATGAATAGCAATATAAAGAACTTTATTAAATTACTATTAGTACATACTGCCAATTTGTTGTGTGTGTATCTGTGGCACAGTGGTAGAATGCTCGCCCAACCACTCACATGGTTCAGGGTTAGATCCCTGGCCGACTCATTCCCTTACCTCACTGAGCCAGTAATAAGACGGGTAAAGAGGGAAGGTTGGGCATGAGGCTAGCAACCCCAACCCGTAAAAATAAATACCATTGCTACCGAAACTTCAAAGCTCTAGCTTCTGAAGCCCTATGTTTCACTGGGAACATAGGGTCAATCTGTTATAGACATTGTTAACAATCGAAGTAAATTAGTTTAACTGATAATGATGATTGTGTATATTTCAAATTAGTTTGATTATTGGCGCAGTTCGGCTTTGTTCCTAGTCATCTCCTCTTGTAGAATCATGAGAAGAAACCAAGAATATAACAGTAAAATGTCCAAAACAAGACGTCAATTGTTATGTATGATATATTCAAAATCTTGATGAACATTGAACAAGCTGTTGTTGTTTTTTTGTTTAGATAGTCTGTGTCTAAAATTCGACATACATTCAAATAACTGGCGTATTGGTTGTGACATAACTTCGCTAGGTTTAAACGGTTATGATTCCGTGTGCATTTGCGTACTACTGGTTAAATGTAATAAAATCATAGAATAAGTGTTTGTCTTCAGGTTAATATATATTTGCCGCTGATTAATTATGATTAATGAAAACAAAACACGTAGATCAGCGAAGAGTCTCTTTTCGGCGAATTCATTTTCTTAGCTGTACAATCGCAAATATATATGTGTTATTTTGTATGTATGTGTACATTAAGTTTATCAAACAAAGTTACAATCGGTTAAGGTTAATTTTATACTAAACAGTTGAAGATTGGTAATTGGAGTTACGTAATACAAAATCAATCAAGAAAATTAGGTGTTAGTGAAATTAGGGTAGTAACAAAGGTGATGAGTTGTCACAAACAGTTGTTAAAAGAAGTTATGTAATAATATGAACAGTTTGATGAGTGAGTTTTACTCAGAAAATGAATTCGCCGAAAAGAGACTCTTCGCTGATCTACGTGTTTTGTTTTCATTAATGCCTGGATGTGGATTATACATGAATAATTATGATTAATTATATTCGACCGAAATGTTTAGCCTCTCTGTTGATATGTCAACTCCTGGCACGTACGCTTCGATGACCTCTTAGACTTAACGTTGATAGGATCCAGCACAGAATAGTATATCGTCCTTTCTCACGAATCGTGTGATTTATCTTGTGATGGAGTTACTATATACTTTCCATTGTCATCCTTCACCGGCTTGATTTGTGTCGAACTTTTGTCCGATAGGTACCTAGTTGTTTGGTAGAGTGTTGCGAGATCTCCTTTGCCTGTAGCTTGTTCTGCTTCACTTGCCATGGATTCATAGTACTTTCTTTTGTCTTCTCTGGCACTCTTCTTTACTCTTTTGTTCAGTGTCTTGTAGCTTGCGTTCAAATCCTGTTTTTGTTGCTTGTCGGTGCACTGGAGAATCTTTTGTTTCACCATCCCTCTCTCTTCTATTAATCTCCAAGTGTCCGTAGTGAGCCACTGTTTGTCCTGTCTCTTCTTTCTGCCTAGAACTTCCATGCAGGTTTGATTCCACACCGTTTTCAAGTTGTTCCAGTGCCTTTCGACGCTGACCTCTTCGCCAGTGTTGATTTGTGTCTCGGCTTTTTCCCTTATGCTTGCAGTGAAGATGTCCTTTGTGTCCTGGTCCTTCAGTTTTTGAGTGTTGAACTTGGCTTGTGGTCTATCTGCAGCTCCTGTTTCTCTGAAAGCTTTTAATTTGATTTGGATTGTCCCTTGTATGAGATGGTGGTCTGAGCCAACGTCTGCTCCTCTTCTTACTTTTGTGTCCAGCAGGCTGCGCCTCCACTTCCTTGAGCAACACTGAGATGAAGTCAATTTGGTTTTTGGTTCGCCCATCTGGTGATACCCATGTAGCTTTGTGGATATCCTTGTGTTTGTATACGCTGCCACCAATCACTAGTTCATTGAAGGCGCAGAAGTCGGCGAAGAGTTCTCCGTTTTCATTCATTTTTCCGAGAGCTTCTCTACCCATGATGAGTTCCCTTCCTGTGTTGTCTGATCCCAGTTTGGCGTTCATGTCTCCCATTAGTATTTTAATGTCATCAGCTGGAGTATTGTCCATTGTTGCCTGTAGTTGTCTGTAGAATTCTTTCTTTTCGAGGTCTGCGTTGTTTGTCGGTGCATAGCATTGTATAATTGACAGCATGGTATACAGTTATCTAGATGAATTTACGTACAGAAATAGGTTTGGACTATCACTGAAGACTCTATTAAGTGATTAGGAGGTTTTACTGAGGAATACACAAAAAAGTTAGCCCTTTTAACACTCATTTTGATGTCTATAAGAGAGTTTTTTAAATGACGTGTATTTACCTAGGTAGGGCCTATCGGATTGGTTGATCAAGGTCATTACATCTGTTTTCTAAGTAGTTTCGTTTCAGGTCGCTATAATTTAGAGTTACTACATTCCTAAATTGTTAGTGTTATGAAAAATGTGTCTGTCACTGTAGATGAACGTACACCAATTGAAGTTAATGAAAAGCATATGACGTTAGCGAATGTATAGCCTTTCTCAATACACAGTTTTAACTGATGTATGATTAGATTGTAAGGTAGCTATGGCTGACTAAACGAAAACATTCCCTGAATCTACAAACTACTTGACCATAGACCTGAACTGTATACGGGAATGCTAGAGGTATAGCCAAAGTTAAAGTGTCAGAAATTATTCAATAGAAGACTTCTGTTTTGTATGGCTTAAAATCGATTGAAGTGTTTGCACTTTATTGTGTTTGAAATTCTGGAATTAGGCTCTTGTATTCATTTATTAAGATCTTGAAAAAAATCTGCCTTAACCCTGTGTGTGTTTTCCTCTGTGTCTTTTCCTTGTTGCTCCTGTATAAATTTTTTTTTATTGTAGAGCTTTTATAGATGAGTTAATTTTCTTCTTTTTTAATTCCATCTCTTTTTCTAACCTAGAAGGTGATATTTACTTGTTATTGGAATTTGAACATCCTGTTGTTTGTCCAATGAATGGTTTAGTTATTGGCGCTAAATTGGATACCTACTCGGTGACTAGTTGTCGTTTAGCACTACACGGTCGTGTAGCAGTACAATTAACAGATTCAAATTATAAATTAAATATTCTGAGTAAATTACTTGTAAGTTGCATAGACTGTGTTTACATTTTAAATATTTGTGTGTGTGTGTGTGCGTGTCTTTATTGAAGTTTTGTTGATATCGTTATGATGAATTGAGAAGTTGTCATTCTGAAACGGTAGAAGACGAAGACTTGGTAAAGGAATGTTTATTTGGAAAATGGTATCTTTATGTAGCCAAATTATGTTAACCTTATCTTCAACTCACCATTTGCATAGATCTTCGTGTTGTGGTACTTCTGGACTTCCTTCATATTGTGTTTCTTTGTGTTCCTTTCACATCTCCTATCTATCTCCACAACGTTGTATCATTTGGAAAACCACCAAGGAAGTACTGGACAGCTGTCTCTTCCTAGTGTGGGACTCCTCATCAGTACGCCCCAAACGAGGTTCGAACTCAGGAGCTTCCGGTTACACGGTGAGCGCTCGTAGACCATTCAGGCACTGAGACCCGATCCAATGACCAACCCATGAATTCCAACTTCTACCGATTCACGATATAGCGCGACCACTAGCCACTGTCGTCGGTGGCGAGTATTTGTCTTCAAACCCGACCTGTTGTTCTTGCATTCGAACCTCTGTGGTGGATGCGTACTCCTGAAGGGTCTCAAACTAGGCTGTCGAAACAGCTGTCCAGTACTCCAAGGTTATCCAATGGTTCTCTAACCGATATCAGCTGATGTGATGAAATCCTGTAACCAATCAAATCCCTGCAGACCAACACTCGAATACGAGATCCTCTTTGGTGATTTTTCTCAAGCAAGACCTCCTGCCTAATCCCTGCAAATTTACGGCAGTTGAAAAGATATCTGCAAACTCGGAGTAAATTAATTTAGTACAACCGATTATTTTTATTAGTTTCTCTATACCTAACTTATTGGGGAGGGGGGGTACATTTTTACCTCGTTGACGCCATTGGCAGCAGCATACGTTCATGATTTCAGTGTAGTCCATTATTCCACATAAAATCTCCCCATTTTATTAAAATACAATTTACTTTGTAGACTTTGTAGAAAAATTCATTGAAATCAAAATTTACAGTAAGTCAGACTACATAACGTGTTAGCTATCTATTTATACCCTTGTCTGGGTACATGATTTATTGACATTTGTATTCTATAGAGATTCAAGTTTTTTCATTGTGTTCTATATGGTTGTAGCAATTGAAATCCCTGTAGGTTATCTTCGTGTGTCAACCGATGATGAGATTATCTGATATCGTCTTGGGTTAGCGCACTATTATTAATGTAATAAGCGATGATGATTAAAAGTGAAGTGAAAATCTCGGTTAAAACAGGACTCGAGCCAGTGGCCTTCAAATTGCTACTTTGAGGTTCAGTTACCCGGAATAAACGTATCATGTACCACTTGGTGGTTAAGAGTCGCACTTATTTCGTGAGGACTATCGATACCAGCCAGTCGCCTAGGTTAAAGCTGATGGAATGGAACTCGAACTTATGACCCAACACTCCAACAAATATTTAGACTTCTGATCATCACACCCCCATTAGTGCAGAGGTATCACTTATTAAGAGTCTTCTTAGATGGGCAAACTCTTTGATAACGGATGATAAAGAAAAGGAAGAAGAAATACTAAACAATACTGAAACTCTCAAGAAAAATAACTACCAAAAGAACTTCATCACCAAAGTCAACACAAACATTAAACATGGTCGAAAACGTATTTCAAAAGAACATGATCCTCAACAGTTGTCATTCCACGTAGATCGGGAAATTCAGATGATATCAGAAGAATACTTTATAAATACAACGTCAGAGCTTGCTTCAAGAGATCAGACACACACTGAAAAGCAAACTTGTTTATGTAGAAGACCGAATCCCAAAAGGTTCACAATCGAGTTGTGTCTATAAAATAAAATACTTAGAATGTGATGCCATATACATCGGACAAACATCGCCAGATGGAAAACAACATCAGAAGAAATCAACACAGTAGAGCCACCTCTATTCGACCACGGAGAAATCCAGTCGAACTAGAAAAGCTTTAAAAGTCATCAGTCACAAGTCGACACGCTGAGCTATAGAACCAGACCACAAAGATGATTTTGACAATATTGAAATCATCATCCAGAAAAATTTCAGAAGTCACAAAGAACGTCTAATTTCAGAAACACTTCATATTAAATGAAATCCGCATTATCTGAATAGGGATAATAGAGTAAGACACTATTTGACCTGGTTCTAACATCCTTCCCACCATGAAATCACAAAATCAAGACAAATGTGATAAGCCATTTTCATTATGTAAACACATACTGTTTTTATAATTTTATACGCTTATCGAATCCAACAATCTACACATGATTTTGTTATCTTAACCAATTGGCCAACTTGACAACAACGACATAACAATTATCTCATGCTGAAGAACGATGATCTGAGATTTTGTAAATTCTGGTTTAATATGACTACTTTGACAAAGCTATTAAGAGCAGCATTAAATAGCGAAAATTCAGTAATAGCACTAATATCCTTTTGTTTTTCATTCATTGGGAATTACAAAAACTTATAATAATGGATACAATCATTAAGTTTTGCTCTGTGTTTGCTAGATGGCTTAGTTTATGTCACAGGTGAAATACTCGACTTTCCACATCGTGTCTGTCGAGCGTGCTGCGCAACTCACTCTGTTCCACCTTACAGCTACTGTTAGAATTCAGTTACTCAGGCTGGAGTAGGTGAAGTGGGTCTCGAACCCGGGACACACCAATTGCATGTCGAGTCCTTATGAAGTCAGTGTGGTACATCTTCACCCTCTACAACTACGAATCGTGTTCATTTCTTGATAGAGGAATTATAGAGAACTACGAACCCTTCGTCGTATTTTACGCATACAGTGGAACTGTCACATGACCAGTATAGATGTTAGGTGTTAATACAGCCAAAAATGAATGATTACGCCAAAATTTTACTTTCAAAAAAAACTTGATCACATCGTTACTCTTATTTATCTCTATTTTATTCCTTTGCATTCCGAGTGGAATACGGGGATTCAAGCTTCAGCTTTGAAGCTCTGGTAGTAGTGGTTATGTTTTCGCGGGATGGAGTTGTTAACCACAAGTCCACCCTCCTCTCCTTATCGGGAGTACTGCCGGTTGAAGGAGGTTCAGGAGTGCGCCGGCTGGGCATCGAACCACGAAACACACACATGGTTGGTGGGCGTTTTACCACTGAACTACCGACGCAAATCGTTACTCTTAGACAGGATTTTCCTTTCGTTAACCATCGATATCAAATTTAATTTGCATTAGTCAAACAAACTTCTAGGGCGATGTACCATAAATACTACTGTTGTCTGAAAAGTGTTCAGCTGGTTTTTTACTTTATGGAATATTTTATTTCTTTTGTCATTCAACTAATTAACGCCTTTTTTTCTTCCACTATTTGTTTTCTTCAAAATTTATTTTATTAAATCAATATCAGATATGTAAATCTAAAACACGTCGTGGTCAAATCGAGCGAGTTGTCAATCCCCGGGCGTGTATTGTTCACGGTTTATTTAAACGTGAAACCAATTGGGAGATATTTGTTGGTTTACGCGCTTATGTGAATATTAAATCTGCTGAAAAATGTCGTATAATAAATGGTTATATTGAATCAAGTTTTGGTCAAAGTGGGAAGTGTCGTCTAGCATTAGATGGTATGTATGTTTACAGGCATTGTCTCCGATAATTGAATACATTGAATTTTATATTTGTTGGCATTGAAAACATTTTCATTTCGTTTAGTTTAATAATAATTTACATACACTTTGCAGATTTTGTCTATCAGCATTAAAAGCAATGTAATCCAGTTCTACCCCGAAGGAGTCATTGAACAATACTCTATTAGACAAGTATTATTGAAATGCGAACAGTTGTGTGACATATCAATCCGTCTCATACTCCTTGATGAAAGTTGACTGCCCAAACTAATGACACTCAGGTCAGTGATGGAATTGATGATGGCGAAGTCTTCTTACATTGAAACAATTAGTATGGATACAGGACGCCTAGAATGCTATGAATTCACCGCATATATGTTCTTTGCTTACATATATTTCATGGCAGAGACTGCGATCGAGATGGCCAGGACATATGTTACGCATGCATCCTAGCCATCGCCTTCCTCGACGGCCAATGTTAGCTGACATAGGGTCAAGCTGGAAAACAGCTAGCGGCGGTCAAACCAAAACATGGCATCAGTCAATAAAATTCACAACAGTTAGTTTAAGCCACGTAGGAAGGTGAAAACTGACTTCCTGTTTGGGGTCATCGGGACGGTAGAAACCAATGGCTGGAGACAATCAGTGATATGGCTCAAAATTGTTCTCAATGGCTGGCGCAGATGCATCCTCTCCTTGTGACTTAAAATATCCAATATAATTGTATTGTCCTTCGATATTACTATGTTTTTTGCATCATATCTCTGTTTATTGTCTCTGTTTTGAATCTCTTTGTACTCTGTTCTCATGCTCTGTTTGTCACGTGAAGTGTGGCGACTCGAACTGCTGCACATCTGTGGAAATTTCTACGTTGAAACCAGTCAGTCAGTGTCAGGATTAACTGTTTGGAGTTTGAAATTATATCCACTTCTCCACTTGCTCTGAAACTGTCAATTCAAAGTTTGTACCTTCGATTTCTTTGTTGTACTACTCCGTGAAATCGAAATATCTGACCAAGTAGTTACTTTAAAATGTGTGTGTGCGAAGTGTCTACGTCGTTCAGGCGCTGATACAATAGGCAAATCTAAATCACTGTCATTGGAATGAAAATATCTTCCAGTTAGTAATTCAATTTTATTATTCAACTGGTAGAAAACTAATTGATTAAACTCTGGAAAGTCTCGCATAATAAAGTATGTTTATTAGGTAAAGGAAATTGGAGTTCAGCGTAGTGTATTGCGTATGAAATAGCAGCACTTAATAATGATGTCACATTCCACTGTATTCACCAATTCAAATGTACCTGTGGCCATACATCGTTAGGGAGGACTCATCGATCTCTGCAAGTAAGCCCTTCAGAAGCAAATAGAATCCCCAGAACCCATTAATAGTGACAACAGGCAATCTAGCTCCTCTACGGCAAAACATTATAGAGACAGGACATAAAATTGATGTTTACACATCTTTTAAATCTATCTATACAAAGTGTGTGGGGCGTTTAAGTTTGTGGAAACCCTAGCTAGCAATTAGGAAGTTTAAACCACCTTTATGCTTTCAAAAATAATTCGTCATCACACTGAACATTCCCTGGTAAACTTTGTTCTGATATCAGGAGAGATGTACTATCACTTCTCTTATTCGGTTTAGTGATCTTCATTGTTATTTTTGGACCTTTTAACTTGACCTTAGTCTATTTTCTCACCCCTTAAATCCTTATTAATTTCATACATATTCCTATGACAAGTCCGTGTGTGATCAGATTGTTCGAAATGTGTTGTACGCAAATACTACATTACAAGATTCAGACAAATTACGTCTTATTGTTTTGTCTAATATCAAGTTATTTTATTTATTTTATTTATCAAGTTATTTTTGGGTACTGCTGAAGAGTCCCAAACTAGGACGAAACGGCTGTCCAGTACTCCCAGGTTTTCCAATGGTTCCCTAACTAATATCAGCTCATGATGAAAATCCTGTAACCAATCAAATCCCTACAAACCAACACTTGAATATCAAGTTATTTTGGTTAGCTAGTAGTCAGTTTTCAAATAATTTTTATAACAAATTAGCATCAACTGTAAGGCCATTAAAAGTAGTAGTAAATGAGGCATAACTGATGTTGCTTGCAACACGATTACACCATCTCTGACCACTTTGGAGTTTCTTCGTGAATGAGTTTTCTGTGGAATCTGGTGAATATGTGGCTCATTAATTCGGGGAGTCGATTTTCAGCCAGTGTATTTCAGGTTCAGAACCCTGTCTACCCACTTCAGCCTTGCCAGTCAACTGATTACTATCATTAAAACTCAGATGATGTGTGAACCGTTAATGAACAATTTTATCACACGATAAGCGTTAGTGGTGCAGTGATAGAATACTCGCATGCTGACGATGCATGTGGGGTGGTCAGGAGTTCTCTCCCTGACCGTCAACGTATTCCTAAAATTCGTTATGCCGATGTTAGTAAGGTCTGTAAAGACAGTAGGCTTCGTAAAAAAGAATAATACCACAGCTATTGAGGCAACAAACCTAAAGCTTAAAGCCCCCTGTGTCCCATTTAGAACGCAAAGAAATAAAATAAGTCGTAAATAAAATCTATCATGCAATTAAAACACAGTTCAACGAAATTAGATCAAATTTTTGTGGTAGTGTTATATAGTCCTTCTCATTCGACGGCTATCCCCGATGTTACTTACTCTTAGCTGTGAAAATGTTGGTGGTGAATACATTTCGATTAACTTTTATTGTACTATAACAAGATAACTCATGTAATAGTGTGGTGAGAGCTGTCTACTAGCCAAATTGGTAGACAGTAATTTACGTCAATATTTACGTTCCCAAGATTTGTCGTGAGAAAATGTGAACAAAGATTGATTCAAAACCAACCACAACAGACTTTGCGTAGGTGGATACAGTTAACATATAGATGATCTGACATTCAAGAAATAGTCACAAATAGATGAGAGATTAACTTAACGTGAGAAACAACCAATCGGAAGACTGTGTTTGTTTACTTAAATATCCATAGTAATGTACATGAAAATATATAAATATGCTTTGATTTCCTTAATTAATGATCTGTTGCCTGACTCTTGCCTTCTGTCGTTACAATAGCAGGTATCGCGCATATTGGTGTTACGACTTCACTCGCCTCTAACAATAGGGTGTAGAATGTGGTTGGTAAATGAATAGGGTGTTTTAAATTTTAGTGGTTTCCAACAACTGGTGTTAATAAGTAGTATATTTTGCGTAGTACTTAATAGGAAATATTAGTCTAAGGTGCAATATGCTGTAATTATATATGTCAAACAAATAATTATGACTGACTTGTTTCAACATAGAACTTTGCACAGATGTTCAGCAGTTCAACTTGCCACTCTCCCTCCATGTACCACACAAAGCAACACAAGAGAATAAAGAGAGAGAAAATAGTAGCAATATGGAAGAACAATAGAGTTTTATTGGATATGACAAATCATCACAAAGGGTGAATGCATCTGCGCCATCATTGACAACGATGATTTTGAGCTAGCCATATCACCAATTGTCTCCAGCCTTCATTGGTTCTTACCATCGTGAATACCCCAACCAGCCATTGAGTCTACACCTCCGTACATGGCTGATTGGCTCAAACTAACTGTTATGGACTGATGTCAACTCTTGGTTTGAACACTACTAGCTCTTTTCCAATCTCATCGACCCTATTGCAGCTAACATTGACTGTCGGTTGACGAAGGTAATCGATGGCAAGTAATGCATGCGTAACATATTTCCTAACCATCTCAATCTATATAACTTCAAAACCTTGTTGACTGACCTCCGCTCCTTACCTAGCACGTTACCGACGCCTAAACTCAATATTACTTAGCCTATTACACCTAACACGTCTGTCTGTTCTCAACATAGAACTTTGCACCGATGTGCAGCAGTTAAGTCGCCACACTCCATGTAGCACACAAAGCATGAGAAAGTAGAATAAAAGTAAAACAGAGACAGTAGACAGGGATACTAGACAATAGTTTCACTGGAAATTATAACACCTAACACGAGAGATAGAACGCAGACACTTATGATGAGAGACTGCTAGCCCGCCTTTTCATATCTCCCACTTTCAATGGCCATGTCTCGCTCATAGCTAACCATAAAGGAGGACGTTGCGAACTGCTGCTGTGTTTTGTTGACAGACACTCAGATATCACGTCTAGTAAACCAGAGATTGCGTAAGTTGGCGAATGCTACCTGAGTCTTCTGTATTCCTGGTGAAATTTCGTCAGTGATCAATCCGCTGGAGCTAGCTGATGCAACTTTCCAAATAAGTGAAATGGTGAACACGCTCAGCCACTGCTTCATTCCCTATCTTTAGGTTAGGAGTGACTCAATGTAATCCAGTCCTGTAGCATCATCTTACGCTTGGCGGGAGGGAATCGCATGCCAAATATATTCGAGGATTTCTGCTCCTCAGGGTGTTCAGAAGACTCTGCATTCTGTCAGCGTTTTTTCACCGTGGAGGTAGGACTTTATCATCATCTGCATATTCTAGGTCAAGGAGATTATTCCCTTATAACAAGTGAATCCGTGATTCTCTGAAGTCAGTGAAGTTCGTCAGTATGTATATATGATGAAATTAAACAGAAATGGGGAAAGAATCGTTGGGCAGGCAATAAAGCATATTTCATACTGAATAATACTCTGTCTAGTGATATACTGTAGATTACTATTTTATTTGCCGATTCTGATTGGGACGCAAACGAAGGATAAGCTTGATAGTTTTGCCACATCTATGTGCATTTATCAATTCAGCTGCACCTGCGGTGACAGTTATATTGGGCGTACTACTAGACAGCTTAGCCAACGTGTTAGTGAACATCTCCCATCGTGGTTTGGCAAAGGACAGACTAAAACAGTTCGTAGCTCAATTTTGTCACACTTAATTGATAGTGGTCATGTAATCGAGAAAACGAGAGCCTTCAAAGTGATTCATCGTATCCCACCAAATCTTTCCAATAGACTTCGTATTCGTCTACTACACACAGCTGAGGCGATAGGCATTCGAACTATTAAACCTAAACTATGTATTCAAAAAAAGTTCGTACAGCCTTTATCCCTCCCTTGGCCTATTAAGACGTAACCAACTAATAACTTCTACACCACCCTTTGTTTGTATTTTCATCCCCTTTCTTATCATCCCTTAATCTTATCTTCATTAGAAACGTGTTTCATTTCCTTCCCTTACAATCTAGCATTACTTAATCGGTTCATTTGTTTTTACTAGCCTTTATCGACTACTTCCACGTGAACAGTTGTTTGTTTAATTTTGCTGTTTTTCATTATTCGTGTTATCACAGATTGCCTCACTTTTTCATCCTTATTATTGATAAGACCATTTTATTATTATTATCATTACTACTACTATTATGACTAACTGCACAATTTATATTCACCATCGTATTATTCTATAGACAAAACACCATGATTGGTTTATATTTGAATTTTTATTTGTAAACTTATATATATTAGAGTTAAGCCTGATGAGATCTAAATGAAAACAATATTGTTCGCTTAAATGTGTTGTTCTAAATTTTACTATGGGAATATTTAATATATTGATTCTGTAATATACAAGTAGGTAAAACACGCTGAAAATATTATGCACTATTTAGAAGTATTTTTCTGATTAAAGCTATTGCTATTTTTCAATTACTTTACTTGTGCAGATGATCTTCCTGAAGATGTTTTGGCTATGTATTCAACAAAATCTGGAAGGAAAGCATCCACTGAAATTGAAACAGAAGTTGTACTTGAATTTAAAAAGAACATATTCGATCCACAACGTCGTCTTATACAGTAGTAGTATTAAAATGTCTCTCTCTTTTTTAATATATTTTTCTAAATTACTTAACTTTTCTGCGTATTTTCAAAAGGGATTATCGATTGGGTGTATAGGGTGTCCTCAGATGTGTTCACACACACACGCACACATTGTTTTCTTTTCGATTACTCACCGGCGTTGTGTTTTTGTTGAATAATTCCGATTGATTCCTTCAAACATGTTTACAGCTTCGTCTATCATCACAGGGATGAAAGAGTTAGGTTGTTCGAACTGCTAAGTTAAATTTGTATCTTAATCTCAAAAAGGTTAATAAAGTAGGTAACATTATACTTGAAATAATTCCTAAAGTCAGTGCAGAGTTTGGGCACTGTGGTAGAATGTAATTCTATATTAGATAAGTTTATTTGAAAAATCACTCAATGGAAAAGTAGGATTATTAACTGGATGACAAGGTTTCGAGCTAAAATTATTGCCACTCATAATCATATCAATTTAGTCACACGGTTTCACAATTTCTCTTATATATATTTTCACTCCTTCTGTTGTTTATCGCCACTTTCCATATCTCCGGCATATATTTTGAGTTATTCTTATCTGTGAAGAACCATAGAAAAACTATGATCAGTAATGAAAATGGCTGTCTGTCTGTCTGTTTTCGACATAGAACTTTGCACCAATGTGCGGCAGTTCAAGTCGCCACACTCCATGTAGCACACAAAGGAAGAGAAGAAAGTAGGAGAAATGCATAATATAGAGAGTAAACAGAGGTGTGAGACAAAGGAGTAGTAATAACGAAGAACGAACAGTTTCATCGGAAATCATAAGTCACAAGGAGTGGATGCATCTTCACCAGGCAGTGAGAACGATTTTGAGCCATGTCACCTATTGTCTCCAACCATTGGTTTTTACCGTCCCGAGGATCCCAACCAGGAAGTCTACATCTCCCTACGTGACTTAGACTAACTGTTGTAGATTTCATTAACTGATGCCAAGTTTTCGTTTGACCGCCGCTAGCTCTTTTCCAGCCTGGCCCTATATCAGCTAACATTGCCCGTCAGTCGAGGAAAGCGATGGCTAGAAATGCATACGTAACACATGTCCTAACCGTCTCAGTCGATGTAATTTCACAGTCTCATCGATCGATTTCCCCGCCTTACCTAGCACTCGACGCCTAACCTCAATATTGCTCACCTTATTATACCACTTCGCGCGGGAGATGGAACGCAGACATCTATGATCAAATACAGCTAATCTTTTCATGTCTTGCACCCTCAATGGCCAGGTCTCACACCCATAAAGGAGGACGGAGCGGACTGTTGAGCAGTACACACGCCCTTTGGTCGATAGTCGGATATCGCGTCTACGCCAGAGACGGCGTAAACTGGCGAATGCGAACCTAGCCCTCTGTATTCGTGCTGATATTTCGTCTGAGATCAAGCCGTTGGGGCTGATGGTACTTCCCAAGTAATTGAAGTGGTCAACGTGCTATACCACTTCACTTCCTATTTCTAATCTAGGGGTCGGTGAAGTCCAATCCTGCAGCATCATCTTACATTTTACAGGGGCGAATCACATGCCAAACATTCTTAGATTGCAGCTCAAGGTGTTCAGTAGACTCTGCATTTTGTCAGAGTCCTCGCCTAGAAGGACTATATCGTCCGCATATTCCAAGTTAACGAGATTCTACCCTGGTAGCAAGTCAATCACTGAGTATCTGAAGTGAGTTAGGGTTAAGTCCATTAGTACATCTATGATGAAGTTGAATAGAAATGGGGATAATGGGCATCCTTGACGGACGCCACTAGTCATCACCACTTCAGATGACAACTCGCCGTAAGCCCTCACCTGGCTGCATGAGTACGAGTAGAGTGCCTTAATCAGTGCAATGTATTTTCTCGGCATTCCCTTTACAGCCAAGCATCGCCAGAGAACCTCCCGGTCGACAGAATCGAATTCCGCCTTTAGGTCAAGAAATATAGTGATTGTCGGACGCCGATAGGAATGCCTATGTTCTAGAATCTGTCGAAGGGTGAAGATATGATCAATACACCCTCTACCTGGCCTAAAACCTGCCTGGTTTTCTCGTGTTTGTGTCTCCCGAGCACCACTTAGTCTACGCAGTATTATTGAGCCTAGGATTTTAGATACTATATTAGTCAAGCTAATCCCTCTGTGATTATCACAAGAAGACTTGTCTCTCTTCTTGTATATCGGGATGATCAGTGACTTACACCAACCCGATGGGACTTCCTCTGATTCCCAGACGCAGCCTAGAACCTCACTTAACGCAGACAGTAAACTGTCTCCACCATACTTAAATACCTCTGGAGTCATTCCATCAGGTCCTGCTGCTTTGCCTCGTTTCAGATTAGTGACAGCTTTAGTAACTTCAGTTAAGGAAGGAGGAGCTGTGTCTATATCCCATTCAGGGAGGTGTTGGATGTCCGGCAGGCTAAGTGTGGCTGTGGGCCAATTTAACTGCTCCTCGTAGTGTTCTTTCCAGCGCTCCAGACGTCTATCCTGGGAGCTAATTATGGTGCCATTTTTTTCAGAGATTGTTTCGCTTATCATTTGCCTTTTACCACCTGTTTCCCTGATAAGCCTGAATAGTTGTCTGGTGTTGCCTATCGCCGATGCTTTTTCCATCTCTTTCGCCTTTGTCAACCACCACTGTTCACGGTCCTTGCGGAGACTTTTCGTAAGTTTCCTCTTGTGCAGCTTTCGCTCCTCATTGAATTCGGAGCTCGCCGGAATAAGTCTTCTAGCATCTATCAGTTCGGATGAGGCAGTCGAAATCCAATGGTTTTTACTCACCTTTGGATTTACCTTATTCACAGCTTTTACAGCTGTATCTATGGCTGATTAATTATTCTTCCAGGCTTCTTCAGGGTGAGCGCAGCTGTCGAACTCAGATATGTGTTTAGCTAGTTCTCCCTCAAATAGGGACTTAGTTTCCTGATCGAGCTGGGGACGTGATGGTTTTACCGCTAGCTGTTTCCTACGTCCGTTCAGTCGTAAGCACACACGAGCGCGGACCAGTGCGTGATCGGTATCTACACACGTGTTCCAGAAGGAGCGACAATCTCCTACCGACCCACGCCAACGATAGCTTATTGCTATGTGGTCTATTTGTGTCCAGCGTTGATTTGATGATGGGAGTCGCCAGGTCAAACAGTGTCTCTCCTTGTGTTTGAAGTTAGTGCTTACAAGAAACAAATGATTATCTGAACAGAACCGTAGGAGCCGGTCACCGTTGTCGGTTCGCTGGCACGGAATTCCGTATGTGCCACCGACATTCTGCTCAGATTGACACAATTTCCCTACTTGAGCATTAAAGTCACCAGCTAAAACGACAATATCTGAGCGTTTAGCCTTTCGCAGCAAACTAGACAGCTTTTGGTAGAACTCATCCTTCGTTTCATCCGAACTGCAGTCAGTGGGGGCGTAGGCGGAGATTACGAAAAGGCATCAGCGAGTAGTGCAGTCCTTTCTCCTTTCACTGATCCGTTCGGACGGACAGCACACATTCGGCTATCTACCGGGATCCAGTCAAGTAATGTCTTTTCTGCTCTAGTACTTAAAGCTATCCCAACACCATCTAATCCTCGTGAGCTAGCCGTCGCATCTCCTGACACCCTCAAGGTGAATTTCGCATATTCATCCTGTTGGCCAGGTGGGGTAAGGTGAATAACCACACTTGGGTCTTGTATGCGTGTTTCTGAAACACAACATACATCAATGGCTCGGGATGCCAGAGTCTTGGCTAGTGATGCCTGTTGTCCTATTCGGCAAAGTGTCCTAACGTTAAATGCTCCTATATGAAATTGGTGGCGGGGCTTCAGGAGACTATCGATGGTGGCTTTTTGGCTTCCGTCGTTTTCAGTGCACACAGAGTGAAGAGGAAGTGAAGAGCCATTAAGTAGAGGAGTTGCATTAGTAGAAGGAAGGCAAGATAATAGAGATGAAATGGATACAAAGATGAGTGAGGATTAGAGAGGTTTCGCGTGCACTTCGGATTGTGAGGGCGATTGTTACTTCCCGGCTGCCCCCACACCGTGGAAGTTGGTTGCGTGACCGTAGAGCCCAGAGGACAACTGCTTGAGGCCGGTCACACACAGCCTGTTTTTGTTTGTTGTTTTTCATTTGGTGTGTCTCAGTAGCGTATTTATCACTTCTGCCCTGTGACACGGCAGCAGGAAGCGCGGTCGTTGTTAATCCGGGCCCCGACCGATCCGGCATGATATTTTGTGATTTGTTTGAAGTCATAGGATTGGATTGGGTAACTGCCTTTAGTCTAACCGCTATCCGAACAACCTTCCTGGTATGGTAGGACCTACAGGAACTTAAGTTCCAGCCAGTGTAGCTCGTTGGGTCATTGCGATATGCAAGCCCGACCACCACGTCAAGGTAGCAGCTTTCGGTCGGGAATGAAAATGGCAAAAGTAATACAGAATTGAAAGCCTCCGTAGTACTGCTGTATAAACAAGGAACGTCAGAGACCATATGTAGGATTCTCATTGAGTTTGGAATTAGGGCGGCATTTAAACAAATCAACCAACTTTCTCAGAGATAAACTTTGTCGGCTTGAGGACCTGATAGATCCAATCAACAAGAATAATATAATTTCCTAAATACCACGTAATACTGACTGCTGATAAGATCAATCACATAGGACAGTTAAACTAGTAGATTGGGGTCAGTTAGATTATTGGAGCAGAAGAATTTCAATGAACCTCGAATGATTCTCCCTGATAAATTAAATAACCTTAAAAAGTGCTCAGCCATTGCATTGCATTTATTTGCATGTAATCACACACCAGCGGTTTAGGACAGAGTGATACTATTAAAAAGTGATATAGTTAGGTGGAGGGGATCATTGTTTATCATCGAGTCAACACCGCACACATGGAATCGAATTGATGCGACGCCTATACCGGAGATATGGAAAGTTGTAGCGAACAACTAGGGGAATTTGAGAGAGAGAGAAAGCATAGGACAAATTCTGAATCCGTGTGACTAAATCGATATGATTATGAGTAA